AAAATATATATCATATCGTCATGTTCTACATCTTCTCAATCAAGCTCTAGTTTCATCAGAGTTTCTATCAAAAACGTTGTTTTTAAAAAAACTTTAAAACTTTTTTTTTTGTAACAGTGGATAACATTTTTGATTTCTATTGTCCCCTCAAAAGTTTGTCTACATTACAGTCCAAGCAGTGTTACACATCCACACAACAGAAGTGGGTGTGGAAATTATGTTTATATTTTAAAGGACTTAATTTTATGTGTAGATTAAGTGTGGGTCATACACAGTAAAACTGTAAGGCTTTTTCTTGATATAACCACAACACGTTGTTTTACAATATTTTTATATTTAGAGCATAAGTTATCAAAGTCTATTGGCCAGTGAACACTTGACTTTATGTTGATTTTCAAATTAACCCCCCCCCAACAATTAAATGTTTTGCACTTATCACAAAAATCTATACTGAAGTTTACATCATTAACATATTTCCCTGCCCTAGATATCACTAAAGTTAAAACTGTAAAACTCTGGTTAAATCCAGTGAAAACATACATTGTAGCAATGTGTAGGATATGTATGTTTTACAATAATATCAACTAAGCTAAGACTCAATCTGACTAAATTTTAAGTTGTTCTGTGCTGTGTCAGATACCAGCAAGCACCGAATACTGAGGTCTATAACCTGATCTATAATAACTGGTTCCCTGCATTATAATCCAAGATAGTATAAACAGGTCAGTGATAAATATAGTCAACACTTAACAAAGGATTTTACCATATCCCTGTTATACATAACATATATGATTATATGTATTAAATTAAAATAGTATAATATTGAAAGCATTAACTATGATTATACAAATATCATCTCGTTTGAATAAAGTTAGTTAAGATAATATACATGAACTGTGATCGAGACCTTTAAAATTGCTTTTAAAGTCACATCATGATTATTGTCTACTGACTGACCTACATATTTAAGTTAATATTATGCAAAATGTAGTCAACTGACATTTAGATACACAATATATCATTTTAGCTGCATCATGATACTATGGAATAATGAAACACAATTTGCCAATGTTACACATATTCCCTTTAATCAAACAGCCTTTTTGTCCATTATACAGATGTAGGCATTTTTATAGGGTGCCCTCCAAAATCATAACTACATCATTATCAATGCAATGGTCTAATTTGAACTTGTCCATTACAAGATATGCATGGATTTAAATATCACAATACATAAATTCCATAAGGAAACACAGATGCACCCAACTATATTGGTGCTGAAAATGTAAACAAAACAAAACCTTCCTGAAATAATGGGGAAACCCTTAAATTTTTACTGCTTTTCACACATATTCTATCATATTTGTTTGGTTCTTTTCATTTGTGTAACCTTTACAATGCAGAATTTCACCACTCATTTTCATGTTACCCACTTCCAGAAAAAAAAATCATTAACCAGTATTTTCCTATAATGCCTTCTGCATTTCCCCATTTTTATGGTAAAAACGACCCCTGATAACCCATAACCAATACAAGCCCGTTTGTCAGGTCAAATGGTCACAAAAACTATGCCTCCCAAATAATGATGAATACTGGAAGAATATATATAATTTACCATTCAAATTGACAAAAGATACTTATTTACAATGGTTCCAAGTAAGACTTATCCATAGGATTTTAGGTACAAATAATCTTTTGTTCAAAATGAAATATATTAACAGTCCCTTATGTAGCCTTTGTAATCTTCATGATGAAACTATAGAACATATCTTTTGGGAATGCATTCACAGCAATAAATTAATACACGAAATTTGTATAGATAAACTAAACATGCCAAACTTGAATAAAGAAACTATGCTTTTTGGTTACACTAAAGGAAACAATACAATAGATATTGTAAACAATTTAGTTCTTTTATATGTCAAAATGTATATTTTTAAATGTAAAACTAATAAAACAATGCTCTCTTTTGCTGGTGCTATAAAGTATATTTCATATGTTTTAAAGGTAAATGAAGAAAAAGCTATCCAATGTGGAAATATTGATCAATTTAAAAAAGACTGGCATACAATTTTAAATATATGTCATCAATCATCATAATATAATAGAGACCCAGGGTTCTAGCCAGGCTATTATCGCATGTCGCGTACGACATGCCTTCCGGCATTGAGGTATAATTGCGCCATGCGTTAATTACCCCGACATCCCTTAATTCCCAAAGAAACAGTCGAATAAACAGATCAATATTATTCGTAGAAGACAAGGCACGTGCTGTCTCGCTCTACCTGTCAATCGGTGTCAGCGACTGTATGCGCTCAACCAATGGCAACGTCCGATTTTTTAACGCGTGTAGCGTGGAGCTCTTTAGCCCCGCCCATTGCTTTTGCGTCGGTCACCGTCTTTGATGTTGATTGAAGTACTTCATGACACGTGAAACATATAAATGACCTTAAAAGTTTTTCACAGGTTAAAAAATCTGTAACATTGAAGCGACAAAGAAAACAATTATCGCTACCCAGGAATGACAAATTAGTGACCAATTAATAAAGATTATTGACAGTATTGTATACGACTAAATGTAATTATCACCGATTTGTTTTAGCACGCTTAATAAATGTTTTCGCGAATGGATATTTCAAAAGCAATGACGGCAATAAAAATGTACATAAGAAATAATTTTCACCATTTCAAGTATAAACTTTAATGTGTTTCTGGTAACGTCACCTAAATATTAAATAAATGAATCAATCATGAGTAAGAGGAAGTCGGATAATAATGGCTCATTACTGAGTTTTTTTAAGAGAGTAAGGAAAGAAAATTCCGAAGAAACGATTGTATCTGAATCCTTATCTTGTGAAAGTCGTGAAGACACAGTCACAGTAACTGACAAACCCTCGTCAAAACATCAAAGAAAATCAGGCATTGACCCAAAATGGAAAGAATCATTTCCATGGATGATCGTAACAGAAGACGGTAATTTATGAAAATTTTATCGTAATTTTTATCATGTAACAGTTTGTTATTGTGATATTGTATTTTTGTAAGAAAGACATCTGACTTGAAATAAAATTGAAAGGGTTGCTCTCACTTGCTTAAAAAAGCAATCGTTAATAATAATTACCGTCATTTACGTTTCGTTATAATTCCGTTCTAAGTATGGAAATTTTCATTGAGATGGTCTATCATTCATGTCTAGTTAATAGACACAGAAACTTTCATTGTGTATTTGTTCCTGACTTTTGACTATTTTGATAAGCAAATAAAACGACAAGACATGCATTAGTTTTTTTTAAAGGCCCATTATACCCCAGTTTTTTTTAAAGGCCTATTATACCCCGGTTTTAAATGCTTTTATTTTTTAAAATACTTCTTTGCTACTTTTATTAAAAAAATTATTTAAAATTTAACGTTACGTTTAAGGTAACAGACACCTGACATGCTCTAAAAACATTATTTAAACATTTATGAGTATTAATGTGCCTTTATTTAAATCTTAGTTTCGTTTGGCATTTTTTTCAAGTTTGAATAAAATGAAATTGTTTTTCTTTTAAATTAGGTCAAGGTTTGTTATGTTCAATCTGTAAGAAACATCAAAGAAGACCTAAAAAGTGTATACCTGGGCGAGCAGTATGGATTGATATTCCCTGTTCTTCCATAAGAAAGGCATCTCTCAGTCTGCATAAGGAATCAGATTCACATAAAGAGGCTTTGTTGTTTGATGCTGCTGAAGCTGTAACAGGTGGCGGTATTGAGGCCGGTTTTGTGAGGGAAGAAGATGTGAATCGGAGTGCCCTTAAAGCCTCCATGACATTATTATATTTTCTATGTAAGGAGGAAATTCCCCATACCACCAAACACCAGCCATTAATTGATGTTGCTAAGTCTTTAGGAGTGGATGCCCTGAACAGTTTGGAGAAAGGTAACAATGCGAAGTACAATTCAGATGAGCACAAGCAGGAGTTAGTTAAATTATTTGGGGAGACAATATGGGAGTCAATAAGACTAGAAATTCAAAATTCTGTGTACTTCAGCATCATGATAGATGAATCAACAGATGTAAGTGTAACATGTCAACTAATTCTCTATGTAAGATACATCAAGGATGGGAAAAGTAAAACTGTGTTTGCAGAGACAATCAGTATTCCAAATGGAAAAGCTGACACAATCAAGGATGCTATTCTCACCTTCCTACATAAAAACCAATTCCCCCTTCACAAACTTTGTGCATTTGGGAGTGATGGTGCTGCAGTCATGGTTGGCAGAAAAAATGGAGTCAGCACCCAACTTACAAATTTAGTCCCACATCTTATTTCCAACCACTGTGTAGCCCATCGCTTGGCCCTAGCTGCTGCACAGGCTGCTTCTGGTATAAGGTATCTGGACAAATTTAAGAAGATAATTGAGCAGCTGTTCAGATTTTACAACTACAGTGCTGTACGAACAGCATCTCTAAAGGAAATCCAGGTACACATTTATTATTATTGTTCATTGATATTGTTTATTACCAAAATATTAGTGAGCACAAGCATCTTTAAACTTTGATCACGGTATCGTTTGTTGCAAGTTTATACAAGTGACCAACAATTCAATTGTACCATTTAAGATAAATGCATTTACCTGAAATATAATGCGGCATATCCACAATACTGAAGATAACTTTGTATATGCAATATTCATGATCTATTGAGTTTTAATAAAATAATCTTTTTTTAGATGGTCTTAAATGAGCCAGCAGTGAAGATCACCGAGGCCAAAGATGTCAGATGGTTGTCACATGACAAAGCAGTGCGTGCTGTCAGACGGTGTCTTCCAGCTCTTGTCACTAGTCTAGAGTATGAAGCAACTAAAGGGGATGCTCAAGCCCAGGGACTGTCATGTTTCATTCAAAACTATGACTTTGTAGCCTCCTTACACCTGATGTCTGATGTTTTGCCAGTCCTCTCAGCTTTATCACGTGCTTTCCAGGTATAACTGTGTATATTAGATTAATATCATTTTGACATTATTTTCAGTTAAAATAGAGAAAAACGGAATCCCTATAGAAAGTTCAAAACAACAAAATTGAAAATGTTGCAGGCTCGGTTTGATTGAGCCTGTTCATGGACTGTACTGGAAAGTGCAAGTAACCATCCACGCCAACTAGCACCGGCTTAAGCAGAATTCAACATTTAACAGTCTATGCTATAGTTAACAAGTATGATTTATGTAAAGGTGTTTCATTCAAATAGTTCACTGATTCATGTTAATTTAATGTCTGAGATATATATTCATAAATTCTTTTTTTAGACCAGAGATGGAGCATACACTATGGTCGGTAGTCTTGTTTCTGGAACCATTTCAACAGTAAAGGCTTTGAAAGAGAACCCCGGAGAACACTTCCAAACCCTTCCCAAGGTCATGTCTGACCTTGCAGAACAGCCCTTCAAATTCCATAGCCCCACAGTGAAGTAGACTGAACATTTCATGCAACATGTAAGTTGAACCAATTAATGAGTTTATAATCTGCATTTTAATTAATATTAGTTTACTTATTATTATTAAATCATATTGAGCATATTTTTTTCTCTCACAGTAAAAAAATGCTATTTCAATGCACATAGTTGTGTAGTTATTCATTTTATCTTTTCCTTTATTTTTTTTTCATTTATTTTAAGGTATACAATCCCTTTTGTGAAGCTGTGGTAGACAACCTGGAGAAAAGATTTCCAAATATCTCTGAGTTGGAAGCATTCACAGTCTTTAGCCCTTCCCTATGGCCAGAAGACAGAGAGGAGTTTGATCTGTATGGCACAGATGAAGTCAAGGTAATATAAGTGTTACATGATTCCCGGCAAATCAAATAAAACCATATTAAATCTGATACAGTTCTATTACTGGAATGGATTCTGTTATATAAATTGCATTTCTTGACTTCTGTCAATCATGTGTAACTGCTTCTTTCAGATGCTTGCTGAACGTTTCAAGTCATCCCTTTCCCCTGCTGATGCACTGACAGAATTTAAGGTCCTGAAGCATACAGTTAACAGTGATCAACAGCTTCAACATGCCCCAGCCAACACTATTATGGAAAAGTTAGCTGGATCCTTGTCTGAAACATTCCCTAACCTGGCCAAGATAGCTTCTGTTGGACTTCTCATCCCAGCTTCCACTGCTGGTTAGTACAGATATGATACTATGAAAAATGATACTTTATCATACTTAATATTGTTTTTGTTCAACTGCAAAACAAAAAGTAAAATTGTAACATAAATGAAAAAAAGAACAGTAGTTCTATAATTATGTTAACATTACTTACTTTAAACCAAATGTTTTTTTCTTTTATTTCAGATTGTGAAAGAGGTTTCTCTTCCTTAAAGAGAATTAAAACTGACCAGAGAAACAGACTGAAATCAGAGACATTAAATGCACTTATGATGATCAGTGTGGAGGGACCCAATGTTATGAAATTCCCCTTTGAAAAAGCAATTGACTCATGGGCCAAAACTAAATGTAGAAGACTGAAAGTCTAAGCAGAGGAATTGAAAAAAAAACAACAACAACAAAACAATTAATCAGTGACTGTGTCATGTGTGTTTGTAAATATTTGTTATTATTGTGTTTGTAAATAATTGTGTTCTGTGTTCTGTGTGTTTAGTAAATATTTGTTTTCAGTGAGTTTGTTGTTAATAAATTATGTTGCCATTGATTGAGCTCTTAGTTTTTGTATGTGACTTAAGTGTGTTAGTAAATATGTGTTATATTTATTTAAGGTGTGTATATAAACTTTTGTGTTAAGAGTGCTTGTAAATAATTATTTTCAGTGAATTTTTAAAAACATGACTGTTTTCTTTGTGATTGTAAATATTTTTAAGAATTTCCTTAAGTCTATAAATATCAGCTCTCCTATGTGTTAAATAAATATAAAATGATAACAAGGAGTTAATTACTATACTAAGTCTTGAGTGTTTGTAATAGAGTTTGTGTGTTGCATACATTGTATTTGTTTGTAAGTACCAGCTGCTGACTTGTACTTTGTTTTTGTCCATGAGTGTGTAACTGTTGATACTTCTGGCTTATATTATTATTTATGATATGTTTTAATGAATGGTAGAAAAATAAAAATGTTTAAATAACTTTTTTTTGTTATTTTTTTAAAATCCTAAGGTTTGCACCATATTATGTCATAAATGTCCCAAGTATCACAGTTTCAGAAAGAAACATTCACTTTCTCAGTTTCCCTATATGAGACATAGATATACAGTGTTATTAGCCCGGATAAAAATTTCCAACATGCCTTCAGAAAATCCTGGCTAGAACCCTGTATAATAGAGACCTATCCAAATTTTTTGTTCCAATCTGATAATGAATAATGTGAAAAATCATCGAAATACTGTTTCGTATGTTGATGTTAGGAGCGACCTTTGTCTTTTCAGTTTTCATACCTAGCTTTGTTTGAGCATACATGGAAGAATAAATTCATGTTTGTAGTATTTTTGAACGTGCCCTGGCCCGCAAAGTTTTTGTCTTTGATGTTTTTTTGTTTGTAAAATATTGTTTTTTTTCTTTTGTAAATCATCACCCTTTTTTGTGTGTCTTTTTATTCTATCGTCAAGTCTCCTAGCTAACCCCATTAGTATCATTAGTTTGTGTATTACTCATAAATATAGATAAAAGTAATTATGTTTTGTTTAAAGCATTTATAATGTAGATGTAGTAATATTTTTCTATGTCTTGAACTTATTACCTCCTTTATATATTCAATTTTTCAAAAAAAAAAAAATTTTTGCCGTTAAATTACTTTATGCAAATACTATGTTAACTTTTCATGTTTAACACATTATTGTAAGACTGGTTAAGGATGGACCTCCGACCCTTAAATAGTCATGCGACGGAGGCAATAAATGGGGTCACCTTCGGGGCCTGAAAAAAAAAAAAAAAAAAAAAAAAAAAAAAAAAAAAAAAAAAAAAAAAAAAAAAAAATACAAGCCTAGCATGTTCAATACAGGGATTTTTTCACCACTGTTACATAGTTACTGGCTGACGAAAGGTCAATAATCTATCCAGAGTAAACAAAAGGAATGACTACAGTAAACATAGCCTCCAGCTAGCGCACACCACCGAGATTCACAACAATGGAAAAATACATTCTTAACTTTTTATATAAACTTCGGTCCCATTTATGATTTACTCATGGGTGAAAAATAGTCCAATCATGAAAGTTGTAGTATGCCTTCAATCAAGATGTACAAAACATCGACTTGTCTGTATTAATAAAGGGGGAAAACAAATCTTTAATTTTTCGTTTATTCAGGTAGAGACTTGAAAACAATCAGTACGAGGTTTATTGCACTTCAAAATCTATCTTGTATATTTTTTTTCTTTATTTCAATTACTGTATATGCAACAACCAGGAAGTGAAGAGTGCTCTATCAAGAGAGAGGGAGAGAGAGTGAAAAAATATGTACATGTGTGTTCTGCTTGATAATCTATATATATCAAGGTAAAAAGTAAGAACATGCCAAAAATCACATCTCTTACTAATTATTGTAAATGTTACCTTTACCACATATAAACTAGACTTATTAAATCTAAGAAAAAAGTTTCCTCACCTCTGACAGGAAAGTCTGTGCACTTTTTTGAGCTCCTACGTGTAATAAATATTCATAAACATATAACGCTAATCTGAAAATAGAAAAGAAAGGAACAAATAGAGATATGCTTTGTACATCAAATATTATTCAGGGAAATCTTTAAACATGCATTTTGCAAATATTTGCGTGTCATGCCCGAATCCGTGGGCAAAAAAACTTTCCAGTAACTCTTAATTTATTCTTAACCTCCAGATAAGCTTTTGACACTAAACTGTTGGGTATCTGATTTTTTGTATTTTTAAATATGTCAGAAGAATGAATGATTTCAAATAGATGAGTAGTAATGTTGAAACATGCTTATAATTTAGGTAGTAACAATTGAATGTGCCACATAATTTAGTCATCAACTTCAAGTACGATTTTAAGTAATTTGGCTAAGCTATGGCCTGTAACTTATTGAGAACACCTATAACTTACTGAGAACCTATAAGAACAAATGAGAACTTGATACCTAAATTTTTTCTAAGTATACGACACAAAGCCATGACTCAACTTCAGCAACATTTAGAGGCCTTATTTAACAAATAGTATAATCATTCAGCTAAAAATGCAAACCAGATCAATACACTAATTTTACAATATGATTGACAGACTGACAGCATTATTCATTTCATTGTACATTGTATATTGTTTTACAGGCCATTTCAATAAAATGCATTGCCAAGACTTACACCAGCAAAATACAGTGATAGCTCAGGCAGAATATAAGCATCAGTTTATAATTTAGTCGTGAAATAAATTTACATTTACTTTTTTTTAACATTTTACACAGTTTCATGAGAAAAAACTGCATATTAATCAATTCATCATGAAACTAGTACAGATAAGTTTATCATATATAGGACTTGCCACATTGTATCATTTCTTAGAATCTGTCAACTTATTTTACATCTGTTTAAGATACACTGTATATTGTAACATTTATAAATATATAACATTTATAAGAACAATCTGTTACACTGAAGCAATCGACTCACAGCTTTTTATATTCTTGATAAAATCTTCAGCAGACATGACTGATTGTGACATAACTTTACAAGGAACAAAATACATGTAATAGAAATATTTAAATCTTCTACATAGTAGACAAGTTTCAGTCATCATTTTTACAAGCATGCTTATATGCATGAACTTATCCTTGGACATGGTATGTACATGTATGTATATACCCCTAGTCCTTTTCTTCTTCACCTTCATATAAAGCTGCCTAAGGTATGATATAGATTTATTTAATAATTGTAGCAGATGTTAAAGTTACACCAGATTTTAATGATTCTTCTTACTCATTAGATCTTTGCTACATCAGAATGATGTGATGTTATTTCAACTAGAAATGACAGAAGAGACTGACTTCATCCCATTATGGCTATTTTTATTGATGACACGTAGCAACAAAAACTTATTTAAAAAAAAACAAAAAAACTTTTTTATATTTCAGAGAAAGTTGATACCTTGTTATGAAATATTCTTTCAAAATATAACAACGATAAAATTATGTTGTTTCCATCACCTTATGTTCGACTCTTGAAAGATTTGTAACAAAAATGTCTATTTCATCTAACACACAATCATGATCATTGCAGGTTAAGAGAATAAAATATTTTAGAACAAAATATTATGCTGCTATTTTACGTAGAGCTTTAACAGTAGAGGAATGATTTTATGCATACATTGTACGCCATTTGCTCTTACGGAAATATCCTAACAAATTTCATTCATACCAGTATTTTGGAATTATTCTTTTTCAAAATTAAAACAATTATAACGTCAAAACATGCAGCAGATTTACACAATTTATAACATGATTGATCTTTCATACATATTCAATTTTGTGCCTACAACTTCTGACATTTCAAAAACTTATATGAAGCAAAAAATCAAGATATATTGTTTACCCCTTTTGGACAGCAACAGATAATATAGGGGGATACAAAAAAACTAACTAAGTAAGGCACTGAAATGTGTATCAATAATTATTTGCTCATTAAAAGACCGCTAGAGCTTTACCATGAGAGTTTCCTCAGAAAATGGTGATATTTGTGTACATGTTCTCTGCAGAGAGATGGAGAAATAACTCTCTTGGGCCTACACCAATCAATAAATCAATATTTATTCATATTTAGCAACTAAGTGCTGAAAACTAGGATTTTTTGCAATGCCATTCAGTAAAGGGCAAAAAATAAGTCACTCCTACATTTGTACATTTATTTCACCAATAAATTTGACCTTGACCTTTAAAGAGCTGCTCGGAGACTGGTCTCTCTCTGTGTAAGAGAAAGATTTATATATAACAACTCTTCATACAGGAGTGTCTAGGAGAGAAGCTGCATTCCACAGAAAATTATCAGCGATATATTTAATCAAAGAGAAAAGACTGGGATATCAAAATTTCTGTAGCATGTATTTACTTCATTTAGTAGTACGACCAAAAAAAAGAAGAAAAGATCTCATGTTATTCTTTGTTTTTATATATTAAATTAGAGTTTGGTACCACAAGAAAAAATATATCACGGTATACCATGTTTTTCAACTAAAAACCACGGTATTAATCACGATATTCCATTGATTTTCTTTAATGTAATAATTATAATTTGTATTTTTCTGGATGCATTAAAAAAGTGCCTGTTTCTTATTCAACACAGGATAAGGTTTTAGCCGAAGAACAAGGCTTTCATTAAGTTTCAAAATTTGGAAGTCAGAGACTGAAAAATCTCTGACATTGGAAGTCACATTATATGGTAAATAAGGAAAAGTATTAGATTGCCACCTAATGACTTATCTGCCAGACTATATATGTGACTGAAAACGTTTTAATGCAACTTAGTCGCAGGTCCCAATATCTGAAATTTAGCGAAAGTATTTGCTGAGGCACCTGTGACCAGCATTATTAAGAAGTTCTTTAGACTTTTACAGTAAACAAGTTAAGTAACAGACTTTTTTCTGCTACCAGGTCAATAAAGATGACATATCATAAATTTCAGTGTATGATTATGCTTGCTATTGTAGGAAAAAAGGTCACAAGGTGCTTCACACATGTTATATTGTACATTATGTTGATTCTAAAATGTTTGTTTCTTTGTGTACAACTTTGTGTGTCACCTATAGGAATCCTTGAAACTATTTTCAAGAAATGCTCTTCCTTTAGATTAGCATATTATGTAAACACTAAATTGTTGATGGTCTTGGGACATTAAGTTGCCTGTTGGGTGAATTTCAGTGTAGCTGGTCTTAAAAGTTTTCCCTATGAAAAAATTAACATTTACATAGACTAAAAATAATTAATCACATCAAAATTAATTAAAGCACAAAGCAGGTGAGAGAAAGCTAAATATTTTGCACCAAGAACACTTTGAGTTGTATCTGTGCTTGTCCATGTGTCAAGCGTGCCAAGGTGTGAATGCCTGTCTAGGAAGTAATAAAATCAACAACCTAATGGTAAATGGTTGTTTGAGACTAAGTTCCATAGTTTGGGAGTCAAAGTCTGCAAAATGTCTGACACCAGAATCACATTATATAGGTCAAGAACGAAAAGCATAACATTTTGAAACAAGGAGTAAATGACTCCCAAATTTCTAATAACAGAAACCTTGCCTGGGACTGCATTGTTTCCTTTTTGTAACTATAAAGTTAATGCTATAAGCAAGTATGCTATGTGCAAAGATTTTAATATAAGACCAAGAACGTGGAAAATCGGAACCTTGCAAGAGTGTTCCTTATATCCGAGTGTATGCTTTAACCAAGTTCCACTGACAATACATTGTGGGATTAAAAGGAAAATTTTGAAGTAACTGAAAAACAAAAATGAGTATCATTACAGATTCCTCATTGAGATTCAGCCACCCACCACTAGCGTACCATGCCTTATAGTTCCCCTATATTTTTTAAAACCTGTATGACATAGCAACCTTGACCTATGAGTTATAATTTTTATTTTGCTCAGTAGATAGGTAATAATTATTTAATATGTTGATTGACAACAGACTTAATAAATGTTTCATAATTACTTGGTTTAGAAATTTACAATGTATAATACCATCAAAGATATAACATTACAATGTTACACTCTTTGATGTTTATATAAATAACTGCTGGTAAACTGTTAAAAACAATACTCAACTCTACATGGTCATCATGACAAAAATTAACAGAAAGGACAAAAGGTATTTCTTTGTTAACTCTTACAACGCTTCATATCGTTAATTGACTGGTCCATCTGTCAATTTGGAATAACCATCCTTAATAAAGAAAATTTCGAGAAAGAAATACTGACTGAATAATGTACAGTGCAGACCATGGTAAGACAGCATGGAGGGCAAAAGAATAAAAAGTCCTTGCCTTATATACAGATATGTAAAAGCGACAACCTTCTTGTTTTACCAACAATAGCACTTGAGTGTTTCCAGTTTCCTAACAAGAATATTCAGTATTTTGTGTGAACAAAAAATATAAAAGTTTAAGAAAAATTGCAAAATGTTCAAACTACTAGAACTATCTGTAACTGTGCATACTACTTAGTGTGACACTATTAATTGTTTATGTTAATCACCAAGTCAAAAACACACAAAATAAATGTTTCAGTTCCTTGCATAAAGTTGTTTACAAGCACAGTCTCTTTCATGATTTTTTAACAATGACATAATAAACTATATCAGCCTATCAGCAATCTTAATCCAAGTTATGTGAGGACAGTATTGATTTCAACATTATCCAACAGCATCTGACTACCTTCATCTCACAGAAAGAACAGCCTTAAACTGATTTTTTGGGAGGCCTAAAACATGCCCAAAAATGTCTACAACAACTTTCATCCTTCCATATAAAGCCTTAAGAAATTTACATTATACTTTAAAAGTCTTAATAAAGAGGAATTTTTAACAATCATAAATTACAATATATGTCAATATATATTTAGACATCAAATTAATAAAAGTTTCAGAAAAAGCAGTTGATTCTAATATTTTAAAGGTCTAACTTCAGAGCACTCAGTCATGCCAGTCAACTGTAACCATGGAATCCCCACTCCTGGGCAGTGCTTGGGAAATGGCCATTACCCAGGCACTTTATGGGACAATCAGATGCTTTTGTCATGGACTTTGCGCCAAAGTAGCGGAGAATAATACCATCGAGAATAATACCATCTCAAATAGGGCATTTAGTAGGAAGTTAACTATCTGAATCTTATTGCGTCTTCCCAATGGCAGTCAATGCGAAAGTCAAAAATTTTTTCCGGCCACAAGGACTGGGATCCTTAGATTTATTTCCGGTCCTGATGATTTTTCCCGGCCCGGACTCTGAAAGGTATTTTTTTGTAGGGGTGGTGGAGGGATATTGCCATAATTATAAACAAAAATATTTAGAAAATATGAATTATCAGACTGAACTATCAGATACTATGAAAAAAATATACAAAAACATAATAAATAAAAATTTTGTTTAAGTCACAAGAAAACGATATATTTTTCAAAGGTTGGAGAAAAAATATGTTTTGGTAAGGAAATTATCCAAGACAAGATGGTGGCTTACATTACTTAGCAAAAACTGGTTGTATCTTGCAGTGATTTTGGTTATCTGGGTCTGTGAATACAAGCAAAAATGAAAAAAAAAAAGATCGATCTTGGAAGTTTTGCATATTTCAGAAGGCCAAAAATTGTTTCAAACTGGCTGAAATTTTATTCGGACATGAGGACTGACTGTATCGAAATTTATCTCGGCCCTCCTGATTTTTAGTTGGCGAGGTCCGAGGACCGACAGACTTTCGCACAGACTGCAATGGTTGGACATATGAGCCGCACCATGACAAAACCAACATAATACGTTTGCGACCAGCATGGATCCAGACCAGCCTGCGAATCCATGCAGTCTGATCAGGATCCATGCTGTTTGCTTACAAACCCTATAACAAGTAGAGAAACTGATAGTGAATAGCATGGATCCTGATCAAACTGCATGGATGCGCAGGCTGGTCTGGATCCATGCTGGTCGCAAACCCATTATGCTGGTTTTGTCATGGCGCGGCTCATATTTGCATATTTCTGAACCCCTTGGAATATGAAGGACCATGGCTCTGATCAAGTAAATCCCTTGAGAAATCCTCACCTGCTGATGGGGACTATCTGATACATTGTAACCACTGCTCACATTGTAACCACTGCTCTCTCATCCCCCAATACCCGTGCCATAGAATAGCAGTAACTTTTACATTGACATAACCATTGGTAATTACCCTGCACTGCCAGATGGTAAAATCCCTGCTTAATACCAAGGAAGTTGGACATATTCTTGGCCAATATACATGTATATTGCCAAAACAAAACAGATGGAAAGAAAAATCTTGGCTTATTTTTTAGTCCGGTCTGCAAAATAATTTTTCTAGATCACAGGCCATTTGTGGGCGAAGTTACCGTATAGGCCGCGACAAACATTCACAGACCAAAAACAAATTATAATGTTTCATTCATGCACAGAACTACATTGTAATGGAATACTTTGATTTGTATGGATAACATCATGATAATATAACTCTTTACTTAACCCAAGAACATTTACAATTATACTCGAGTATTGTCCATATATTTACACTAACTTATTCTGGCTCAGATGATATAGTTAATGCATAATTGCATGACATATAACTCAAATCGGATGTACATAAAGTGATTACGTATTACACAATTTCTGAAGAATTGAAACAGAAACTGGCATTGTATGAAAACATACATTCTGAAAATCCCACCACGAGTCTACTATCTTTGAAATTTTGCAGGTTTGAAATGGATTTTACATAGCTCTTGCTTCTGGCAGGTTCCTTATTTCACAGACTATTTTACTGTCCTTTCCCATAAGCAAGAAAGTGGTTCAGGGCATATGGGGCCAATATTCCCCCGTAAAATAATGCATTCCTCACTTTTGCCAATAAAAAATCCCCTTCAAAGATCAAAATGAGCAGATATGGGACACAACCCATTTTTAAATTCATTGTGTATTAAATTCATTGTCCAGTAACATAGAATCAGATGGATTGTAACTCTTTGCAACACTGCTTCTGAAACATGGCAGCATCATGTCATGGATATATGTCTTTAGCAGTGAATCCAAAGCTTTGCCTGTATAACGTGTGAGAACATCATTTGGATTCCAGATTTCTTCCCGACAGTGTGAGGACTGCAGGATGGTTAAACGATTTATCCAGGAGTGGCCATGACTCATTATTACCCTAAGCATTTGTCAGTGGTAGTTTGATACACATTACCAGAGATCTGCCGAGGACGCGATTTTGCGCCATTGGCGCTAAAAAAATGAGAATGGCGCAGGAAAATCGGCAGCAAAGGGCCATGGGCGCATCTCAAATCTGTGCCAGACTTATAAGAAAACAAAACTGTCTGCTGGGTTATTTAGTCATCCAGTCAAAACTGGTACCAACAGCAACATGTTACCCATGCTCCTGTAATTACGCATATTCTTGAGTTTATCCATTCCCCTATAGCTTTTGTCCATGTTATCTACTTACCGCATTTCTTCTCATAGTCCCTTTCCCACACAGATACTCATTTCTACTACCGTAAATTTAATCCAATAAAACAAACAAACAAATTATACAACTACTTAGTATTTAAAATGATTATCAGTAACTGAAAAAAAGTGTTGCTATTTTAAGAAATGCTGTAAGTTACAGTATAATCTGACAGGTGTTCAACTTGATCAACCCTAATTTAAGGTCACTCAAGTTCACGCAAGTTTTGGCTGATGAAGTGTAAAAAAGATGTATATTTCGTCATCAGAATGTTTGACAGGGTGATTAACCAATCAGAGAAACATTGTGCATGACTTTTTTCATGATCAAAAGGTCTGTCGGCAAATGTCTTTGATGTATGCTGTCTACACAGAGGCATACAAGGGGCAATAAAATTCGTCAATATACAGTGGTAAGGGACATTTGGTGCAAAGTAGGAACAATTAAATGGATAATGCACAATATAAGACATTACAAGTAAGACCCAGCAATTATGTGAATAAATTTGCATATCAAATTTTTGAGCAGCCATTTAAAAAATATTTTCATTTTTGCCTGCAATCAATATTAGTTAGAAAGTTACCATGTAGGCATAATTTTTAATTATTGGTAAAGTACTGAATTATAAGTGAACCACTTGTCATAAAATATGATTTAAGTTTTATTACCGGGGAAATTCAATTATCTACAAACTTTTTAACAGTTATTTTGGTCAATGTTTACTTATTTTCCCAAGGCCCATACTTTGGTAAAAATGGCCCATCATTTTCAGACCACGTGGGCCCAGGGCCCAGTACTTTCAAACTCTTGGCAGATCTCTGCATTACTTATATAATAATTAAGCATTCTATGCTGGAGAAATTTGGAAGATACATTAAATTAACTTTGATTTTTAAAACTACCCAACTGTTATCTTTCCTACCTAACTTTCCGACATACACAGTAATGGGTGTTGACAATTTATAGTCATCTAATCATTTCTAATGATAAATCGCAATCCCCAGCAAAATCTGTTTTAAAAACCTAACCCTAATTCATAACTTTCTAACAGAAAACTGCTGACTGTAGAAGCTATAATCTGAGTGATTTTGTAAAGAAACATAAATACATGTATTGAAGAAACAAATTAACAATAGAATTATAGATCTACTGGTTAAAATGTTTCAACATTTGAAAAAACAAAGCTGTATCCTACACGTAGATTAAGATACTTGTGAAAATGTTGTTCTGTCCATGCGTTCATAACATTGGTAAAGGGAGGTAATCATCAAAACATTTAACAAAATTTCTTCATTCACGATACATGACAACATTGACCACGTTCACCATTACAGCAAACAAAACCCACCCATTCAAAAGTGTATTACAAAACAATAAAAGTATGCGAATAAATCCGTATGAAAATTATCATTTAAGATTCAAAACAAGTCCGATAACACGACAAAAATGAAATCATCCGCAGGTGGAAAACCATTGGCTGAAAAAAGATTGCTATTATTTGCATACGAGTATAATATCTTGCGTACCGAAATACAATGGTGGCGAGAAAACAAAGAAACAAATCAGCACTTACTTTTCTCTTGCTTGTGCATCTGAAGGGACCGAAGATCCCTTTCCTTTCGCATACATGCTTTAAGATGCTTTGTCAAGCACCTGTCAAACCATTGAAGATGACACTGACCCTATTGTCATGGCAACTTTATTGCGGCTGCATTTTAAAAACCGTTTTCATTGGCTCCTATAATTAACTCGGTCTTGGGTTATGTGAAACGGATTTGTACACAAAAAATCTACTCTGAAAAGTGGGAAATCCGAGGTTACGGCTCGCTACACTACAGGAACGTAGATGATAGGGTTGCCACAAGTGTTAGCTGAACTTATCATTTAAAATTGAATTGTTGAATTAATGTGTCGAATTTAAAAAGCTTAGATTCTATTTTATTTACTTTCTAATATGTTATCTCTGTTCAGTACTGTATGTGCAGCATTTGAAAAAAAAGTTTATCTAGAATTTAAAAGTCTTATATAAGGTATAATATATCGTTATTCATTGATTTTTTTTTACAAATAGCAACCGAAAGCATGAAAATAATATTGCACAAAGGCTGTAAATCTATATGTTTAATATCTCTATTAATTAATAGAAATCAATGTTTTTTTTGTTTTGTTGTTCTTTTTTTTTTGTGGGGGGGGGGGGGTTGCTTGTTGTTGTTTTTTTTTTATTTTATTATTGTTCTGATTTCATGTAAATTCATTTTTATGACTAAAATGCATTTATAACGATATTCAATTACTGAGTATCATTTTTCAGGTGTATTTGAAGATGTGTGTATCTAAAGTACTTTTGAGTAGTGGACCAATGTCCTCCAGCGGCTCATTGTCCATCCTTTACCAAAATGTACGCGGGTTCTGTTTAATTTAAATATAGTACTTTATATTGAATTAGATATATATATATTTAATCAAAGTCGTGTGATTAACTGAGCTGTGAATCTGAAGTTTCATTTAGATACTATATATATTTATAAAGTTAATTAACAGATCTGTTCAAAGTACTTTTTAACTCTAAGCTTCTAATCAAAATGATTTACTTTCTACAAGAAATTTAAGTTAAATTTTCAAGTAATTATGTATATAATAGGGTCCATCCGCCCTTTCTGACACTGAGAGTATGTATATGTGCACTGTTCGTTGTCTTGTATTTTGCTATTATCATGTCATCGTGGGCTTATAAGCCTTATATGATTGAAATAAAACTACATGTATGTCTATGTCATGTGGCCATTCACGTCCTTAAATAATATTCTACCTATAAATTTTGAGTTTAGTAATTCACTGAATGATACTTAATATGTATGCAAGTCGATTTTCTTTTTCAAGTATCTGCTGCTTTTAAAGCTATACCTTATTTTCATACACAACTTTGACCGTTTTGACCACGTACGTTATCCCGATCGCATACATGTATGATTAGCGCTACCCGTTTATGTACACACCTGAAACATTCTGGTACATTTATATATAATCGTGTACGGCATTCGGAAATCATATAAACATTATATGTATTGTATACTATAGCATAGAACTTAGATTCTAGTAACTCTTTCCGAAATGTTTAAAGTTTTTAAACTATCAAATAGTTCGATCAGAAAATAAGTATTCGCACGAGCTTCATTCTATAGTACCGAACCAACCCGCTCGTGATCACGTGCATGTTTCTTCGCACGGGCGTTTTGTCAGAATTTGGAGAAAAAGAAGTCGCAATACATTCAAATATTTGATAGTTTTTTATTTTTTTTAGTCGGCAATCGCAACGTATAACAATAGTTGGCAGATTTATTTGAACAGCGAGCGTTTAATTCTGACCGAATTACCAATAACAGCTCTGCGTTCAACAACAGACATTTATACTGTCTGTTTTTACTTTTCTAAGGTATATTATTATTGATTTTTCAATTTTGCTACAGTTGGTGACAATGGGCCATGACTTTAAGATCTAGAATCCGATGCCCTCATTTGCTGCCCTGTCGCCTAAGAGTGTGTATCATTGGGCTGTATTAGCTGGTAAACTCAATAGATTGGGGATCTAGACACTGATCAGATGGATGATTCTATTTACGAACGGGGAAAGTAGATATTGGAAAAAGTAAACAATGTAGGCAGTTCGAGCTATAATTTCACAAATTAAAGCTTTTTTAAACATTATTTTTATTCATTTTCACACAAATTGCATTTTCTTGATAAGACGATTTCTTTTTATGTACTTTAATGACATTAATGTTCAGTTTTCTAATGAAAATAAGAAATAAGGACCCCTTTGCGTTATTTTCAGCATTTTCGTTAACTTTCGGAATGCACTTACGGAATTATCCGAAACACAGAAATGATATACATGAAGTCGCAAATTTGCCCTGACATCGTTTAACAATTTTAATCAAATTCCTGTACATTACATGTAAAATCATGTGCAAGACTGAATAAATGACCGTGTTTAAGATAGAATTGTTTAAATAAAACAAATTTAACTTAGATTCTGTTACCTTTCATCATTTATGCCATTCTTATAATTTAGAATTGTTCATGTAGGTCTATACATTCTATATAAACTTTCAAAATAAACATGTTTTTTCTGATGTTCATCGAAGGCACTTAAAATTTGGCAAACTTAAAAACAGGCTATTTTTCAATCAGGCTTGAAATACGAAGTAAATCTAAATTCTTAAGTGTGATTTATGGACTTGTGTGAAATTTATTGTTTAACTGTTTTTGTTATGAACGGGGGTGTAGAAAAAAGGTTTGTTAAGTGTAAAATTTAGGTAGAAGCTGTAATATAAAATACGTGTTCATTCATAAATGTGCACATAAAATGTTGAGGATCAGGACTAGAACGATATTGTTTTTATTTAGCCAATGTTTAACATATACATGAAAATCTTTGTACACGTATACGTAGGGCCTACGTGCGAATCAATGGGTATAGCGAGTTCGAATACTAGCTAGCACGCGTATCCCAAACAGTAATAAAAATATTGGCGAATACTTTTGCTTTAAAAATTCTGAATATTCATGCAAATATTTAAACAATGTCGATATCCATTTGAAACACATTGGCTTACTGTATACATATAATAAAATAGTTTATTCGTTCTTCTATGTATATATGGGACAATTTTTGTTCATTTTCCCTAAAATGTCCTGTACGTACCGTTTCAAACTTAGGTCCAGGCTGAAGAAATGTCCGTTTTGATGATGAAAAAAAAAGAAAGAAAAAAATCTGTACATTCCTTGAATTACGATATTTTAGTGGACATTTCCGCATTTTTCTGCGGCCTAGTCAAACAATATAATTCCAAAATCCTTTTTACCCCAGCACATTTTTTTTACTTTTAATGATTTTCCATATTGTTCGTTGTATATTTAACTGACTTTCTACTTTATAAAATTAATGTTTCGGGTTTCAGTAATATAAAATTTCTTTTCCAACCATTTTGATCTTCTAATATAATTATGTTGGTTTCAACGTCTCGCACATGTTGCGAGATTCGAACCCACAGCTTATATTTCAAGGGGCAGTACGTGAAGTGGTTGCACACTTGGTCCAAGCGAGCGAATTGGTTGCAAACTTGACAAAATGGCAAACACGGCGTGATTTTTTGAAACGGGTTAACGAATTTTTGCCAGGCAAGTAGGTTTCTTTGTTATTTTGAAGTTCATTAGTATGTCTATTCCATAATGCAATATATATGCCACACTCGGTTAAAGGTTTCAGCATCCTAGATTCTGTATTGACGAAGTTATTGAAGATATAAACTGATCATGTAGATATTTTGAAATTTGACATGTGACTGTTCTGGTCGGTTTTTCTCCTAATTTATTCGAATTTGTAAGTTTTGAACTGCATTTAACAATAACAAAATATGTTTCTGTCAATGCTGTACAAATGGTTTAGTTCGCAAGTCCGAAGATAACATTCAATACACAAAAATATATTGTTGTGTAACCACTTCACGTCCTGCCCCTTGATTTAGAAGTTACGGTTTTCCATTTCTTTAAATTCAATTTCTTTCTAGATAAATGACAAACTGTCTTCTCCTCCACACCTCCACATATACGGACCACGACATGTCATCATTCATGTCCTTAAAGATCCTGTAACTCTTTTTTATGTTTTCTTTTTTGTTATAAATATGATGCTCAAATGAAGATTTATCAACATTGTAAATTCCAAAAGGCATTATTTGTAAAGATATTACTGAATTTACATTTCATGTAATTTCAGGTAATTAGAAATTTATTTCCTATATTATTTTCTATAAAATCTAAGCCAAGTTTTTCAATAAGAAATGAATGCATACATTTTAATGATTACATATAATGTGATGAAACATTTACAGTTCTTATTTAACATATTCTTGGATGTTTGAAAATTGTTTTAGAAGAATAATATTATACATATATAAAATTTGACATAATTCAGTGTGGTACGTGGCGAGGGTAAACAAACCCACAACACACAAACATTGTTACATTCTTAATTTCAACATACAGGATCTTTAAAGGTTATTATCTACCAAAATAATTTGAATTCAGTTATTCACTGAATGATATTAAATACATATACAGGCCTCGACACTAACTTTTTTAGCAGGTGGTATGCCGGACCACTAGATTTGAAAGTTAGGTGGTCCTTCCAGAAGTCAGGTGGTCAGTTATCATTATTATATCATTTTACTGCAAATGTACAAAAAAAATGTTTAAACTTTATGACAAAGATGTATTATTAACCTTTAAAGAGAGCAGATATTTTTAGATATATAATTTTCATCTAATCAGAAAAGGGAGAGCAAGTCAGTAGGTATTTTATCGTAGAGTTATTTGTTTATTAACCAGGTTTTCAATTTTGAAAATCCTGGTTATTAGATTGGGGTATGGCGGGCGGATGGGCGGATGGGCGGCTGGGCGGATGGGCGGGCGGGCGTCAAACGAAATTGTGTCCGCTCTGTAACTCTTCAACCCTTTGAAGAATTTTGATGAAACTTCAGACAAATGTTTACCACATCAAGATGACGTGCAGAACGCATGTTCCGCATGGCTGGCTCCAAGGTCAAGGTCACAGTGACATTAACATTGAAAATACTGTCCGCTCTGTAACTCTTCAACCCTTTGAAGAATTTTGATGAAACTTCAGACAAATGTTTACCACATCAAGATGACGTGCAGAACGCATGTTCCGCATGGCTGGCTCCAAGGTCAAGGTCACAGTGACATTAACATTGAAAATCCTGTTTACATGATTTTAACTTGATTTGGCAGTCAAAGGTCATATCATCTTTGGAGGTAATTTAAAAAAGATATGATATATTATTTCATGTCTACTTTGTAACTTGTTTTTCATTATACAGAATTATCAATATAATTATAGTGAACAAATTCTTCTGTGCTGAACTCGTCCTACATTTCTCAACGGATTTTGTTCAAACTTTCACAGAAGC